TGGCATGATCATAGTTTTACAGTCAGAATGGAGCATGACCGAGGGATTTGTGGGGGTGCGGATTGCACAAAAAGAGGACAATGTCAAAAACAGTGGGGAAAACCCGATGATATAGCAATAATAGGTTATTTCCCAACTTGTTGGGAAAAATGGGCATGAGGTTCGACTAGATCAAAGACAATCAGGTAGCATAAACTAAAACTGAAAAACATTGCTGGCCATGAGTGACCTTGGGTGGTTAGGTAAAAGGCAGCCGTAGGGAAGATCTAGTGTGTGGGCGGGTGCCTGGTGCCAAATCCGCTCGTTTGGGGCAATAAAGCTACTTCAACAGTAGCTTAATAAAATCGACAAATCTGCCTTCCTCATCGAAACTCGTAACCATCACATACTCAACCACAGTAGCAATCTAAACGAAAAGGGGCGCCTTTCTGGGCTTCATCAAACTGATCGTTCATGTCGAAGTATTGCAACCCATCGTCATTTCTGAAATCATGTCGACTATATCCGAATGAATGACCTAGCAAGACAGCCAAACTTGATGCGATTCAGCTGTCTCAGATAATGTTGATGATCTGGCTGGAGACTGCAAGGACACATTCTCCAGTGGACATCCCCTGTGCACAATCGAAAAATCTCCATCTAAGTGTCACTTTACGGATTTGCCTACACCGACCCACGTGAGTTATGGTTTTCAGACAGCTGTTTTCAAACGCCTGCCAACGCCTTGGTTCCGCTACTCAAACAGGCCAGGTCACATAGCCAAACAACAGAGCAGCCAGTGTTGCGGCCTGATACACGCGTTACTTGATATTCACGGACATACTGCCTTGACACCTCAGGTGTTTAAAATTGGCAAACGCGACTCCAGCATTGCAGGTTCTTGCACTGGCCTAATCTGTCACACCACAGTAAAAATTAATACTTCGAACGTATAAAAAGCGCTGCACCACACTACATCTCCAACCCGATCACAAGAATACCTTGACCATATTTAGGCTTTGTTGTACATCTGTGGATTCCCTCGGCCAACCAAAAATATCTCCCTCCCCACAGAACTGCACATCCAAGAAAAATCATCTCAAAATTGCGTCTGTTGGGGGGCTGTCCGGAAATCCAGGCGTTTCAGTGCAATGATGGCATGGAATTGCTATACCCAGCTTGATAGCACACTCGAGATTATGTTCTTCCTTCTCCTGATCTTTCCCTTAGCCTATCTCCCACTTGTTCCATTACCTGCAACTACAGACAAACTCACGCTTTATTCTAGCTCATCATATGATCATGCATGACGGTATGCCACTGAAATGTTGAGAACAAGCACCGTTATAATGACGTGACACTGTGTGGCGCCGCAGGCTATTGACACGCCGAAATTGAGTTCGCCGTAACTATAGGGTTTTCGAAGTTGCCATTTTTATGTGAAGTTAGTCTAATCAATTTGCACCTTCCCGCGACATATTGCACGTAGCATTTTGTTTAAGTGAGCGAAATGTCAAGGTCATTGACCATCGCCGATTTGGATTTTTTGCCGGTTTACGCGACATAAA